GAGAGGAAGTGGGTCCAGGTCCGGCCTGGGCGCTCCAGGCTTCTAAGTGGATCTGCTGCTTCTACCAGAAGACATGGCCTCAGCCTATTTAAGTCTCTTCAGTGGCGACCGTTGAGTTGGTTTCACTGTGGGTGGGTGGGTGGGTTGGTTTTGGGGTTGGGGTGCCAGGAGAGAGGAACAGTGAGCTTTTGCCCCCAAAAGAGCCTGGGAATACAGCAAGAACGAACGTGTCTGTCAGGCCTCATGTAAACCCACGTCAGTATTCCTGAAGGAAGACATAAGCTGGAGTTCACCTTCCTATGGTTTAAAAAGACGCCCACTTTGTTCCCGTTATTCCAGGAATCTTACGTCTGGAAGATGTACCAGGAAAGGTGCTGGGATTTCTTCCCGGCTGGCGACTGCTTCCGGAAACAGTACGAAGATCAGCTTGGGTAAACGCGCATGAGAGAAGCCTCCGCCGTTCTGGACGGCCAGCTCCTAGTGAAATAAAAACCTTCTCTTACAGTCCTGCAACATCTTTGAACAGGGACGTTTCCTAAATGCCTCCCTGACAAGAAAGTGTGTGTGTTACAAAACTGAAGTTTGGGAATTGATTGGGCTTTTTGTGCCTAACGGACGTCCATGGTGGAGATAACCCGTGGTTGTCAAAAATGTTAAAAGAAAGTGACAAAGCACCAAGGATGCTCTCGTTGAATGCCTTCCAGTTCGAATGAGTTTGCTGGGATGGCGTCACTGAGGGCAGGGCTGGAGGGTCTGACGTCTCGAATGTCACATGACAGCCTCCCACTAGTGACGCAGGTGGTCTGAGCTACAAAAAAAAAAATCATTTTAACTGCAGTCTCATTTCTCCCATGGTACTTGCTAGTGAATGTATCCAGAATCAGCTTGAAAAGCTTTAAGCAGTTAAAGTAGAAAAAAAAAAAATACCACCACTTTGTCGACACTGAAATATCGATTAAGTGCCTTAAAACCTCTTTAGAGGTAGCTATGCAAGTTTTTATGTTTATGTTCGAGATGGACAGTTCCATTAATGAGTTGTGTTGATCTTCTGTCTTACTTTATGAAACGGCACTTGAAGGTTATTCATATACTTTTTTTTTCCAGTAACAGCTTGTCAACTGCTGTTATTAGAAGAAAAATACTGTACTGAACCATCCAGGAAAATCTCAATCTTACGCCGAATTGAGTAATGCTTTCTGGTCCCCTGTAAGTAGTGGAGCTGCTGTGTTTAGGTGACTCTTTAAATAAAATGAAGCGCCCACTGCAATAAAGTAATACGCACCCATCCGCTGGTTTGGCCTCTTGTAATGCACCACCTTCTGGAGGATTTACCACCACACTGTGACTGCTGGGAAAAGGGGCACATGACAAATAGCCTAAAGGTTCCCTGCACAAGAAAGGAAAAGCAATCCACAGACCCGCATTTGTTTATTTTGGCCAAATGCATGCCTGGTTGCTTGGGACGCTTCTCTTTATCAGCGCACCTGCTATGCTGTAAACAGTGAGAGGAAGAAACAAGGGCCTTAACGTCTCCCACCCTTAAGAAATCTACCCAATTACTAAGCCAGAGAACAAATACGATGAGCCTCTTAAATGTATTCTTTTGGATGCTGCTGAACAGAGGTAGGCGTTACCGCGCTAAGCATGACGGACACACTGGCTCGGGGCATGCGTGGCAGCCAGCTGTTCTTGGACAGCCTGGGGCCCTCCTGCACAAGGCAGCCCAAGTTGGCTTCAGGTACTTTTTCTGTCTGTTTTTCTTTTGTTATTAGGAAATCATGCTGTCCAGCCAGTCTTCAAGCTCTTCCTCGGTAACACTTTTTGATATACTTGGTTGCTTCGACTCCACATTCTTTTCCTCCAACACAGATGCTCTTGCAGGATCTGAGAAAATGAAAGCAGTGTTAACACCTTCACGTTAGCCCCCCAGCTGAGGGGTAGTGCTTCCCTGGGGTTTGCTCCATGGCATAAATCGGCCCTAATATTGCTCACAGTAAGGGGAAATGCTCTTATTAGTCTACTCCCTAAAGATCTAATAATATCTAAAATTAATAAACGGGGTTGAGATTTGCTCTTCTATTTATTTGGATGCTGAATTTCCCAGTTCACTAGTTTTTGGGGTTTTTTTTAAGGATCAATAGCTGAGTTTTCTTTTTACTATCGCAGCAATCCTGCAGAG